TTCACATTGAGTTTTTCTTCTCTAAAAACCCCAGCCCTTGGAGAGCTAGCTGGAGGGACAGGGTAAAGAATGTGTGAGAGCAGCCATTGCCCAAGGTGGCCATCCCCAGGCCTCCCCTGGGCTTCCCTGGCCTCTCCTGATCCCGCTGAGGGTCAGCCACGTGCTGCTCAGCTCCCTCCAGCTCAGCCCCGCACCAAACCTCCCCACTTCCTGCCTCACCCAGCAAAGGTGGCTGCGTGATTTCAAGCGAGTGTGTAATGACAGTGCCACCTCCGTCAGCTGCGAGGTTCTTCCACTCCTGCAAAGGAAACCATTAGTCTGTCACATTTAGTAAGCCAGTGATGGTTAAAGTACCTTAGTGAGTAAAAGTAATTCTGAATGAGTCAATAACGGTGACTACAACAGTGAGGAGAATGACGAGAGCTGTTTACTGAGCACCTGCTCTGGGCCAGGTGCAGTACTAGGCACTTGGGTCACACCATTAGGACATAAGAGCAGAAAGTCCCCATGCCCGCCCGGACTCTGTAATGAGTCGGGGGTTGATGTCAACGAGAGAGGTGGACACGAAGACAGGGAGCTGATGAGAAACCAGGGATAAAGATCCTCGTGTTGCTGGGCTTCCCAACATGTGGGCCAGGATTCCAAGTAGCTCCAGGTTCCTATGTGGGGATGTTTCCATTATTTCAAAGTTGGTTCATAGAGTGAGGCTTAGGTAATATTTTTTATGTCACACTACCTCCAATCTGCACAATTCTTTATTAGTCTCAAATCTACCCTAATATATTTCTAAATAAAAATGCCCTAGAGTAAGGCTCTGCTTTGCCCAGCTTGACCCAGATTGGGCAGTGCTTTTGCCAGAACGCAGAGTCTTCACCTGGCCAGCCTGTCTGTCCTTGGCTCAGGGTCATACCCTGGCTGTAGGAGTCAGCTGGTACAAAAACTATGGCCACCTACAGCTGCCTCCGTCCCCATCGTACTGAAGGGCAAAGTAGCTCGGAGCCCGGCTCCTTACTGAGATCTGAGTGACAGAACAAGGGAGGGAGATACAAGGCCTTACAGCTACTCAGTGAAAATTCTCACTGATTCTAATGAAATCTGTCAGAGGAATTAGTCATTTTTAAAATGATAATGAAATGAGGCAATGAATGAGTAGGGCAGGAATGACACAGAAGAGTTGTAGGGTTTGGAGGAGGGAAGGTTAGGAAGCTGGAGAGAGTCCATGAAAAAGGTGGGACTTGACCTGGGCCCGGGTTACAAGCCAGACACTGTGCCTGGTGCTGGAGGAAGAGTTGGCTAGGACACAGTCCCTGTCCTCCAGGCACTCCTAAGACTGGGAGGAGGGACAGACCCCTGAAGGTGTACGTAGAAGATAGTGTGTTGACGTGACAATGGCAGTGTGTCAAGCGGTGGTTCAGCTCTTGGTTGGCTGGAAAGGAGTAAATGTGAGGGATGGCTTGGAGGAGGGGAAGAGGAAGGAAGCCACACAGAAGTTTAGGCTGATGAGATGCAGGAAAGCCCTGGTCTAGACAGGACAGTGCAGCGATGAGAAGCGTGAAACCCCAGGTGTGCTTGCACATGCACAGCCTGCTGCTCCCGAGCACGCAGCACGAGGCGGTAAAAGCAGTGTGTGAGGCCGCGCGGGGAGCAGGGAACCAGTCCTGGGGGACCTGGCGGAGGCACGTGGGCATGACCAGGCAGCACAGACTGCAATGTTTCAAGCAGAGAAAGGTCACGATCAAGCCTGAGTTTTAGAAAGAGCACTTTGCAGGTGACCTGGAAGTAGAGAGTCCGAGAGATCAACTTGGGGGTTTAGACCAAGTAGGAACTGGGAGAAAGTGGGTGCCAGACCGGAGGTTTTGATGCAGCTGAAGCACGTGTATGGTGGGTACACATGAGTGGGAACTGGAAGGACAAGAGCTTATGTTCAGAGAAGTAAAGGTTGGACTTTTGAGATTTTTTTTTATGGTAGATTCCAGATAATAATAAGGTCCAAGTGTAACCTGGGGGTGGGGTAGGGGGTCAGTGAAGTATCAGGAATCCAGGAAGTGATGGGAAAGAGCTCGAATGACCTTGGAGACTCACTTGTTTCCCCTTTATGTAGCTCAGCAGAAAGCTAGCTCAGCAGGCACCCGCAGGGCCGGGGGTGGGGGGAAACAGGTGTCCCTTGTGTCATTTCTGCCCTCTGGCAGTTCCCAGTATTAGTGGTACAGGTGTTTCCCGCCTCCCTGTCCCTATAGTTGTGGGGCACTGCTGGCAGCTCGCTCCCTGCAGGAGTGCTAGCCACGGAACCCACAGTCAGAAAATACAGCTCCTGTTCAAAAGGGCTGCCAGAGAAATGGCATCCATTTAATTATAAAAAGGGAAATATAATTTCTCAAAATATGATCTGTAGACCTCTATACTGAAACGTCCCTGGGATGCTTATTTAAAAGTCAGATAAATAAGACTAGTCCTGGACACCTCCCCTTTTGAAAAATAAACAAAGCCAGGCACTACTTTAAGTGGTAAAGACATTTCAATCAATAATATACAGTAGCAATAATACAGGAAAAGAGTCCATCGTGAACTGAACTCAGCTGCACCCGAGGTGACCAGGGTTTTAAAGGGAGAACGAGGGAATAGGAAGGGGGAAGGGGGCTCCGTAGAGTGAGAGAGGTGCAAAAGGTGGGAAGGGCGGGGCGTTGGCCACGTGAAACCCATCTGTGTTGGCTAGTTGCCACTTATCGAAGTTAGGCTCCTACCTTCTCACAGAAGCTAGACCAGGGCCCCCTCTTCAGGTGTTGGCTGGGACAAACAGCCAGTTCTTCAGGCAGCCAGGAGTGTTTTTCAGGGAGCTGGGGTCATCCTAGGTGTGGGGACTTGAGTTGTTAGAAACTATGTTAGTGTTTGTTCAAGTCTATAGGCCAAGTTTGAATCCGGAAGAAGGCTCAGAGGAACCTGGCTAGAATTGGGTCCAGGAGAGAGCCTGTCACCCTCCAGACCGTTATGCCCACCTCTCCTGAGTCAACCTCTGAAGCAGAGAGACCCATGTGAACAAGCCCTGTTATGCTCACTAATCTACTGAGGTCTAGAAGGAGGGAGGGAGGTGGGGGGTGCAGAGGTTCCCTGGCTTCTTCAGGGAAGGGCTTGAGGAGGGGAGAGGCTGGGCAGGGGGGTGGGAGGATGACTGGGGGCAGACTGGATTCTTCTCTTGGATGCTGGATGGCGGCCCCCCACCCATGGAGGTCAGGGCCTCTCACTCCTGGGGAGCAGCATGTCTGACCAGCTCTGGCTCCTGAGGCCCTGGTGGGAGTGAGATGTTGAGACCTGGGGGATGGCAGTGGGGCACCAGCTTGGGGGCATGAGGGGAGCACAGCTGTTCAAGAAGAAGACAAGCCCTGAGGCCTGAAGCAGAAGTGGGAATAGTAGGTCAAGGTGAGGCTTTACGTATTGGAGGGTAATGTTGGAAAGAGAGTTTGGCCCCACACTGTGGAGTGTTTTGGATTGCAGGGCGGCAGGAAATTAAGACCTGAATCTGTGAATGATATGGAGGCTTCGTGATATGAAGGCTCCACCGCAGAATGGTGGAGCCAGGCTCCCTGACACATGCGCCACCAGACTAGCCCTGGACTTACTTAACCAGATTCTCACATGAGAGGTCAGTAAATTTCTTTCTTATTTGACCCACTATTGTGTAGGGTCTCTATTGCAGCAGCTGAAATTAGAACCTAATAAAACAATGGGTACATGTACTGGTTAACTGTTGCCACAAGAGTGCTATGTGACTAGCCCAGCCCAGAACTCGGTGGGTTGGAGTAACGATTGTCACCATTCTGCGGCGTAGCTGGGACAGCTCTGCTCAACGCCCTGCTTGCTGGGTCTGCTCTGTGCCTCACTCCTGGTCTGCAGATCAGCCAGGGCGGGTCTTTTCCACGTGTGTTCATTCTGGGGCCCAGGCTGAAGAGGCAGCAGCTACCCAAGGGAGGCATTTAGGGCAAGGCACAAACCCATCAGGCCTCCTCCGTCCTAGGCACAGAACCAGCACTCTCCCTTCTGCCCATTCCATGGGCTGACGCCCCCTGCCAGGGAACGAGACAGTACACTCTGCCCACAGAGACGCGGTAAGGGTGTGGATGCAGGGAGAGGTGAGCGCTCGGGGCCAAAAATTCTATCCCAGGATGTAACTGAGTCTTGATCTGGGATGTGTGCAGACAATTGTGATTTTATTCAGCACTCATATGACCCGCTCGTAAGGTTATTCCTGGTTCTATAGCAGAAACGAGTGTTCCACAGAATGCACAAATTCCACTCTCCCAGTTGTCATCGTGAAGGATAGTGTCCACCGGTGTGCAGACCCCAGCAGTGTTCCCTGTTAGTTCAGGAACCCTGACAAGG